TAGCAACAGCCTGGGAGGTCTGCTGACACAAATTATAAAAGACACTACATTTTGAAACATCTTTATCTGATACCTCATGCAATGAGGGGTCAGATTTTTACCCGATCAGCCATTTTTGAAGCCGTTTGCAGTTGTGCACTTGTGTTTGGTCACAGCTATAAACTGCTTTCTGTGGCCAGGTTGGGCAAAAGCTATCACTTCCATCTGCACCCTAAAGTTCACCCCAGCATACATGTAAGACCAGAAGGGACCACTGCACCAACTAATCTAACTTCCTGTGTAACACACAGGGGAAAAAAATCATCCAGTGACTCCTGACCTGAGCACAGTAACTTCAGTTGGACTAAAACGTGCAGTATATTCCAAAATGTCACCCGATACTGGCCTTGAAAACTTCAGGAAAGAGTAAATCCACTGTCCCCCTCATAGTTTGTTCTTGGGGATGATCCCCTTCACTGTTAAATTATTCCTTATTTTTATTCTGAATGTGTTTGGCTTTAACTTCCAGGTTTCAGTCCTTGACATGCTTTTTCCTGACAGATTAAAATGGTCCTTGGCACCTGGTATTATCTTACTATGGTGCTTACACACTATAATCAAGTTGCTTCTTGATCTTGTGATAAGCTAAATAGTCCTATTGGCTTCTCAACAGGTCGACAACTAGTGTAGTGTGATTGCCACTGAAAACTCACCCTTTGCCAACAATTATGCTGGCCCATTTACTATCCAAGAAAATACAGGGTTAGCACAGATACCCCTTGCTGTGTGATAGCTGGTCCCTAATGGGGACCCTCATTTTTGTAGGGCTGAATATTTTTCTTTAAGCTGAGATTTGCAAAGCTACCTAATGGATGTAGGTGCCCAACTCCGATTAGAAACAAATGGGAAAACGTCGTGTCCAAATAGCACTTGGTAGTTTTGAAATTTCCAAGCAAAAAAAAAAGATCCCTTTGGCTGGTGCTTTTGATTTAGGAAGGGAAACAGTAGGAGACCAGTCTGCTAGAGATAATAGATTTCAAGATATTGTCAATAGGAATCAGGGTACATGTAGCAAAACAGACAGCAGCAGGAAAGCTGTGGAAGAAACTAGATCATAAGAGATAATGGGTCTGGTCTTTTTTGTATTACTGTTACAAGCACCTTCCAATAGAAGATTGAGCAATGTGTGCTTAACAGCCACCAGGGTGTTTTGGGAGGCTCCCCCGCTTTGCTTATAAATTGAAATACCTATTCTTCTCTGTGTCTGTATTGGAGAAGGCAGGTCAAAAACTTAACCCTAGGGCAGAAGGTGGTGACATTTCTAATGGGTCTTCGTTTCTGAGAACATTGGGTCTCCACTCAAAATGGCCTCAGAAAAAGCTTTCTCTTGGTCTAATAAAACATATCACATTTGCCTAAATAACCTCGTCTGTTCTTTTATGTAGGAAGCTCTACTTTGTGGTACATTTTGATCTTGCTTGCACTCCTGTAATTTCATTAGATAGTAGCAAAGCTACTGCTGATTTGTGCTGGTGTGAAAAGGTAATTGTGTTTTGGTATTTACCTACCAGTGTGTGTGAATAGCTTTATTTCTGCAGCAGCAAAGCAAGTGTGCCTGTGCCTATATGGAGTTTTGCAAAAAGTTTTGTGTTGCTTTTGCTGTTACCTCTTCTAAATTAAGCTGGAAATTAGAAAAGCCTATCACATATGATCCAAGAGTCCAGCAGCCACTATTAACATTTGCAAGCCACTGGGTACATGTGGGACTCTCATATAATCCACAAATAGTAATGGAATGATTGGGTCTTGTTCTCTTCCTATCTTTCCTCATTCCTGAGGGTGAAAGCTGTAAACACAACCAAATTCTGCCTCTTGGAAAATGATGGGCTATTCTGTTCTCTGTAAGCTTTTGTGCTATACTCGGCACTATATTCCATACCTTGGCAATTCTCTCAGTGTATGTTGCTCCAGCAAGGGTTACTGGGAACCACAGGTTCCTGGAAAGTTATGCATCCTTTGTTGTGCCCAGTCCTTTCCAGTTCTCAGCTGGACAGTTGTAGGCTTGGAGCTCTGAGCTTCAGAGACTCGTGCTTTTTTGAGCTCCGGAGGTGTCTGCCTGTTGTTCACCGAGGTGGAAGCTGTCGTGCTACCTTTCAGGTCTAGTTCATCATATGCTCCCTGTAGAAGGCATTCATTCTTGCTTATGATCCTCAAGAACCTTCCCCAAACAATGTGAGCTGATGATGATCCCAAATCAGAGAAGGGGGATGCACACTAGTAACGATCTGTTGATTCAATGATCAAGCTCATAACCTGAGGCTTCTGCTCAGAGCTCAAGGGCCAGGAGCTTATAGGTCCATAGATTGTAAGGCTGGAAGGGACCTCAGAAGATCATTGGGTCTGGCCCCCTGCACCAAGCTGTGTCCTGGATGGCAGCCACTGGTACGAAGAGAGTGGGATTTTGTGCTAATTTCCCTGAGGATGAGGAATATCTGGTCGTAATACTATGAGAAATTCATTTAGGTCCAGAGGGCAGCAGAAGGCTTGTGCATCCCTTAAACTGCACTTTCATCTGCCTCTGTCGATAGCGGATGTCAGCCTTGCAACTTATTGCTGACTAGCTTATTTTGTTTTACATTTTTATGTTTTTCTGTGAATCGATCGGAGACTATGCGGAGATAACGCTATGTTTATCTATAATTCTAATGTGCTCATTATGGAGTTGCCTATTTATGACTGACCTTTAGCTTTCAGTGAAATCAGTGGAATTCATAGGGTTTTAACAGGATGGGATATTAAGTTGTTTTGTTTTGAGTTTTTTCTGATTCCTCAGTATAAGCACCTTAGTTTGACAAGACTAGTGCAAATAGTTTCCTGGCTAAAGCTTTATTTTTTTTACCCAAGTGCAAATCTGCTTGCAAATGTATACAAATTGAGCACTTCACCTGGTTGGAAAAATCAGCCAGAACTTTTTCTTGGTGGTAGGTTCAGCAAACATGCCAAGAGTAACTGAGCCATGAGGACTGAATTAGCTTCTGATTGCAGCTGCATGGGACCCAAAATTGCATTCCCCAGAAAATGTCACACTTGCCAGTTCCTTTTCTTGGAAGCAAAAGTTGGAAGTGTGACATTTTCTTCAGGAGATCCAGACTGGGGTTTTTTTTTTGTAGTTTTGTTTCAGAAAACCCAAATGGGTTGAACATTTCCTGCCTGGCAATCTGTTTTAGCTAGTCTGTCCAAGCAGAGGCAAAGAAGCCCGAGTGCTGGGCAGTCTGGGGTCTGACAAGCCTGGTCCGCAGGTGGTCAGGGCCCCGGGCTTGTTGAAAAGCTTGAGAGCCCAGGAAACCGGACACATGAATGACTTGCAAGTAGAAAACAAGGAGAGACCTTCCCGCCTGGTTTCCAGTGAAAATGTAGGTAGCGCTATGTTGCTGCTTAAAGTCCACGCTTTGTTGAATCTGCAATTTCCAGTGGAAAGGTATTCCATCAGACATTTCTAACCTTCTTCCACTCCTGACTCTATGGCAGGTAAGAGACCAAATAGTAGGGAAGGAGGCAGAGAGGCTTTGCCACATGGTGTATGAGACATGCTCAATGGCTTATTCTCTGTGGCTCACTCTTTGGTTCACACAGCTTTCAGGACGACATTCAGCTTGAATGGTCCCATGCTTAGCCAGTAGCCTTGCTAATTTTAATAGGGGTATTCAGAGAGTTAGATGACAAGTATTACTCAAGGTGAGCGAGACATCAGAGTCTTGCCCGGTGCATCATTCTCCACCTCTGTAATTCACTAATATTTAAGAAGAAAAAGTGAATCTAGTCTTTTCTTGTGAAATGGCATTTTTTTTTTTAACATGCGGCAGATTTAAACAGTGATGCAAAACCCTGGGAAACTTGCCAAAGTGCCTGTCAGCTTGACACTAGCAATTTAGGCCTGTGTACCTTGGATATATAATTTATATGTAGCTGGGTGCATTATTGTATAGGCCTTGACTCCTCTTTGAGAAGCAATGAAACACCATATATGATGCTACAACCTAAGGACTTGCTGTTTGTTCTCGGCAAATAGGATCCTCAGGGAATCATAAGCTTGGTAAAAGTACAGATTGCTCAACTGTTTAGACACTTTATGTGCTTTGTGTTGGCCTGGAGGTTTATCTATTTTCTCTCTCACAATAAATCCTAATTGAGTGGCAAATAGAATAAACATTGGGTCAAAATTGAACAAAAATCTGGCCGAAATCTCAGCCACTGGTAGAACGAGAGTCGTTAGGACCTAGTGAAGCCTTGTGGGTGACATCATTTCTAGTTCTCATCTAAAAGAGATACGTGCCTGCTCATATCATTCTTCTACCATTGGAAGTCTGTGCGTGTGAAACGATATTGATTTTGCTTAAGATAAAGTGTGGGTTAAGGATGGTATTGATGCATGTTTTCTTTATGCTGTTTGCAGAAGAGAGGTTTCAGACTTTGTTTCTGATATAATTCTGCTTCACCCTCTAAGCATGAATGCATAATGGGCTTTTGGTGGGGTGTGGGCTTTCTTTTTTTCTTTTTTTTCAAAGATGAAATCTTATTGAAGTGACAATCATTCTGCGCTATGTTTTATGGGTTCCTATGGTTACTCTGCTTTTTACGTAGCAAAACTGATGCTGCAAAGACAGATACTTCCCGCTCCTCCTGAATACCGATATGGTCAAACTATGTTGGCGAACCAAATTACCTGCACCATCCACGAGGGCTATCCAATTTTTGCGGTCAGCTGCCATTCACCATATTTAAAACCCCACCGGTCAGGTCTCTGGGGTGGGATGGGAATGTGGAACAAGAAGTATTTATTAACATTCATCTCTGAGGCCGCTTAGTAGGATGAACTTTGTACAAGCCACTGCACTGAATACTCTGTCCCTGGCTGGGAAGAAAGACTTGGGAATAGCTTTGTATCACTCACTTTGTTTTGCTCCTGCTCTTAGTTCCTCCACTCTGTAGACAGAAAGCCTGTTCACTCCTCCACAGATGGAGCCTTTCTCTCCTTTGCATTCATTATTGCACTCCTCTGGCTTGGCCATGTTCGCTGGGAGCTTGTTCCCACAGTAACATTCAGCACCATATTCTAAGCCAGCATAGGTGTAGGCCCTGTTGGAGGGGGAAGAGGAGGGAGAAAACAGTAGCTTCAATATAGGTTCATCCCAACGTTTACCAGTGCACTTGAGAAGCTCAGCAGCTTATACCCAGGGACTGTTCTTCCTCCATCCCAGAAATGCAACTGTTAAAAAGTGGACAGCATTATGCATGACTGTGAAAGGCAACCAGTAAAGGCAGGCAGTTTTGTTAGGCACCATTCAGTGTCCCCTAGGGCACCGATGTTTTAACATCCCAGATGCAGTGCTTCTTAGAAAGTACTAATGGCTACTTAGAGTGACATAGAAGTCCGTTTCATAAACTGCTGTAACTAGCTTTTATCAGAAAGCACTTTGGATCCAGCCAAGTAATTTTCAGATGGTCAAAACAAAACAAAAAGAATTGGCTATTACTTGAATAATAGATGAAAGGCTTGCAGTCTCTTTCAAGGTACAAAACTCACAGCTTCAGTGAGCAGTGGCTGCAGATGAAGAAGCTTCCCTAATAAGCATGAAATGACAATCCACTTGGATTGATGGGAGTCTATTTTAAAAATTCAAATGTGTGCCTTGCTGCATGGAAGTTAATGCTAGCATTGATGGCATCTAACTGGTGATACCAAATGATGGCCTATAAAGGGAAAGTCTTTAAGTTTCTCTCAAGGTTGAAGATTCTCTCTCTCTTGCCCACACCAGTGTGCACGTGTGATTTGGATAACGCTGAATCGGAGACGCTCGTTTTCCCCAACTGACATGTATTCAAAATAAGGGATCACACCTTCAATCAAAAATTAATAAAATACTTGATTTGTGAAGGGAATCCCATGCTGACCACCACAAAGGATGCATATCCCTTCTTTGGTCTGCATCTGATGTCTCATATAAAGTTTACTACCATAATCATCATTACAGGTTAACAAAAAATGAATTGGAAAAGATGAACATTTTGGGCTTTAAATACCATGTCAATACATATGCATGTGTGTTTGAATAATTGGCTCAGCCTTCAAAAGTGCTTCATGCCTGCAGCTGCCATTGGCATCATATGGCAATATGAGCACAAGTAAACTGGTCCATGCTCTGAGTGGGGTATCCTTTCCACGTCTCCCAAGTCTACCATGAGCTCCTGGTCTTGAGTGAAGTTTTCATAGTCACCCAGTTAATCCTGAGCAACCCCTAAAGTATTCCAACTATTCTCTCCAGAGACAATATCACATGGCTGAGCAGTACCCTGAGCCATGGGAAGCATGTAAATGGTATCCACCAAAGAGTAAGGGTCAATATGCTTCAGAGATGCACTTTTTGAATAGCAATTCTTCCCCTTCATCTTGCCCTTGGGATCAGGAAACCTGCTGAAGTAGTTTAACTAGTCATAAATTATCCTTCATTCATTCACCCCAAGCTCTTCTGGTCAGTTAGAAAGGAACTGAAGCCAAGGCTCTGATACTTTTCTGCCCTCTCCTTGCTCACCTGGTCCAGGATTGAGGTAAGTCATAAAGTATCCCAACTGAATGTTGTGCGACCTGATCCCAGGTGTTTAGCCCCCCCCTTACTCCCATTAACAAGGGCTACACTTTGGACTATAGATCAGTGAGAGGCAGTTAGCCATATTAGTCTAAAGTCAGGCTCAGGCAGCAAAATGTTAAAAGCCAGTTTTTGAGCAGGATCAAGTTATCTACAGATTGGATTGTGTTAAGTCTGGTTTAAATGGGGGGGCTATGGATTCCTATCCCATTACCACAATTAGTTTTTGTGACTCTTTTGTTCCTATGGCTTCTTTTCTTGTTTGCTGCCCCTTTTCTTCCCCTGCTCCCTTCCCACCTTTTTTATTCGCATCACTCGCTCCACTTTAGACACTGTTCAATGCTTGTCCTTTCACAGTGATGAAGTGAACTTGAGTTCACAAAAGCTTATGCTATCTCTGTTTCTATCTATAGATCTATAGATATAGATATAATCTCTATATATCGATATAGATATCTATATCTTTATCACCGCATTGCCCTAACAATAAAGGCATAGAGAAAAGGGATTGTGAATAAAAATAGACACCGCATACAAACATGCTTTTACCTCAAGTTGGAATATCTATCTGTCTATCTATATCGAGATAGCTAGCTAGATAGATAGATAGATAGATCTCTCTTAGCTAGCTAGTCTAAGATGCATATTTACCCTGCCTTCTGCTTGACTATAGATCAGGCCAGAGAGCTTTTCCAGGCCTGTGTGGTCACATATGTTTCTTCAGTGGGGACTTTTTAAAGTCAAACTAGCATACCAACCATGAAATAACTATTCCACTGTAGATGGGGGGACCCAAAACAACCCGCTTCATCCAGGTTTTCTTGGAGGTACAGGGTAACCCCATTAGCTACAAATCTCTTCTTGGACATAAGGGAGTTCTTTCCCCTTCTGAGTTCAATTCCCTTTGTTATCGGCAAACAGATACAAGCACAGTGAGAAACATCACTTTACCTCTCAGCACACGCTTCCTGACAGTGAGATACTGTCATTTTTCTTAAATCATAAAACACAGCTCCCTTCATTGTCCTCTCCCTGGAATCATCACTGAAGCATCCAATGTAAGTGCCTAAAGTTCACAAAACAGTTAGAGATAATTTTATACATATGGAACATTCAAATGAAAATTCAAGGCCCTTAGTTTTTCTTTTGAAGGGCAATAACAGCATGTTGGTAGCCATGACTAATGCATTATACCAGTAGGGTTGGCTGAAAATGTTGTGAGAAATGGTTTGTTGTGGGAAGGTCAGTTTAAATGGGTGGCGGGGTGTGTGGAGAAGGGGGAAGTGGCTAGGTGGGATGGTGGATTATATGGCAGTGCCAACATGGTTAGAAAGGGGTTATGATTAGGAGGTGAGGCTCATGAGGAGAATGTACTTTTGAGACCTGATGGGGCTTATTGATGAAAGCCCCCCACCCTGCAACTTCCTGCATGCTGTAGCAATAAGATGCAAAGCACAGTGTATGGGTCAGGGGAGTTTATATCAGGTAAGATATGGAGGGAGAGAACAGTGGAAAGCAAAGAAAAGAGGAGAAATGTTATCCTTCCAGAAGGCTCCTGCCTTTCCCTGTCCCTTACTCCCTCTTTCCTTAGCCTCTGTGCTGCTAGTGTTTGCTTCATCTGGTCATTCTCCATCATCCCGTCTCCTTGGAACACCTCCTGCCTCTTTCCATGTCCCATGTACTCTGCATCTAGTTCCATGTCGCCCATCCTTCTCCCTGCCCGAGGCGCAGTCTGGATGTGGGGCTGGGCTGGGTTAAGCCCCTACAGCAAATTTTGACAGCATCTAACTTGTTCCTGCCTATAAAAGCTTCTTCACCTGGGTACCACTGTAGCAGGTACAGATCACCAGAGTGCAACATGGTACCTTTAGATTTCATCGATTGCTAGGGTTGAAAGGGACCTGTTAGATCGAGTCCAACCCCCTGCTCTGGGCAGGAAAGAGCGCTGGGATCAAGTGACCTTGTTTCCCTATTTGCAGTTGCATGGGTTGTGTTGGCCATATGCCACCATGTGAATTCCCCCTTGTAACTGCTTTGGGTCAGTCGGCTTAGTCTTAACTGTGGAGAAGTCTCTTCACTACATTACACCACCGTTCTCTATCGTCATCATTAAGTCCTATTAAATACATCACACTTTGCTTAGCATGTGAACAAGACTGCATCCTATATGATGTTTATCTTGCTGGGATCCTATGATCCCTGCTGACTTCCTGCCCCTGGGGCAGGGGGCTGGACTCGAAGACCTTCTGAGGTCCCTTCCAGCCCTAATGTCTATGAAATCTATATTAAACATCATTTTTTGCCATCCGTTATAAACTACATGTAAAGCTTTTCTTGCTGATTCCACTGAAAAGAATTCATCATTGGAAGAAATATGAAGCTACCTTATAACGTACAATAACATATTTAAATATATAGAGTTATTAAAGTATAAAGGAGGGAAGGAAATTTGATTCTGGAAGCCGTGAGATGAAAATAGGAATATTAGACAATGTAAGTAGCATGTAAGCTGTAGAAAGGAAGGGGAGTATAAGATTGGAATTGATAACAAATAAAAGAATAAGAATAAGCCACTCAACACTCTAATAGACTTTAGAGCTAAGGAAAAAAATCAAAGATTTAAATATTACAAACACCACAGTAGTTTCAAAGAACTGCACATTGGTAATTTGCAAACATGCAATTAGAAAATTCACAAGCTGTGAATATACACCCACAATAAGCTGTTAATGAGATGTGAGTTATGCACCTGCAATAAGAATTTTCTTATTTCACTGGAGACTTCTGATTTCAGTGGTTTTGAATCCACCCAGTTGCAGTTGAAAATGTAACGTCTGGGGCTGGTGTACCAAGCTCACAGTTGGTGTATGGGAAGCTAAGCTAAGGAACATTGTACCCGATTCCGGGAGCAGTTTACGTCACTTTGAATTCCGGTAACTATGATCTTCCGAGGTCCCTTCCAGGCTTACAATGTATGAAACTATCTTATATTCACTTATCAACATCTAATTTATAACCTCATATATCAATCTAAATTTGACTTCACACAGTCATTTAATATAATGGCACTTTAGTGACAATATCTCAGTTGTCTGTCAGGTATATAGAGTCATGAGGAATGGAACAAAAATTTATAACTAATCAATGTGATCTATGACACAGCATCCTATAAACTGTGTTCGTAACTGAGAAATACCGTCTACTGAACAGAACCAAATTATTTTTGATATTAAAAATAATACTCAGAGGCCTCATTGTACCAGACGCTGTGCAAGCACATAGCGAGAAGCATTCCTGACCCTAAAGAGCGTATAGTCTTAAAAGACAAAACCACTAGGGGAGAAAGGGGAAGCAGAGATGACGTGATTTGGCCGTGATCGAATAGGGAGTCAGTGGCAGAGCTGGAAATAAACCCACATATGACCCAGAGTCAAGTGGTACATCAGCAGATGCCTTTTAAGTTTATGTTGAAATGGGCCCACCTCATCCTTGAATGGGGATGTCTTGTCCCATGGGGGTAATATTTTCAAAAATTCAAGCACCAAAAACTGCAGGTAGGCACATAGTGGTGTTTTCAAAGGCAGTCTAAGCAGAACCTTTTCCTAACTCCTTCGAGGCTTTGAATTACCTAACCTGTTTCTGAAAATCCCACCAGGCACCTACCTACCTGCTTCTGTGAACCTTTGAAAAATCTTACCCATAAGTCACTTGTGAAAATGGAACTTAGGCTTTTGACTCACTAAAGCACTTTTGAAAACTTTACCCGTAGGCTCCTTTGAAAAATCTCAGCCTTACTGAATAATCAGCTCTTAATATTTTAAATTTATATTCATTTTGAAAATATCCATAAAATGAGTTTAGGCCAGCACCTGTACCAGACATTAATCTAGTGCCTCACTAAGTTATAATTGCAACCTGAAATGGAGCCAAAGGATTACTTATTGCTACATCTCACTGAGTTATGTTCATTTGAACATGCATCATTTGAATCTTTGAGTGAACATGAAATGACTATTAATAACAGCATTGTTAACAAGCATTGGGATGTCTTTGGAAATAGTTATCAGTTAAAAATTAAACTTTCCATGCACAGCGTTCGATTTCGTTTTTCTTCTCCTAGTAAACGTATGGGCTCTTTATTTCTTTGTGGATCCCTTCCAAGATATAATGAAGTACTCAGTGATTATAATGCCTGCTGAAGTTTCAGCTTCACCTAGCGACTTCCTTCCAATAAAATATCTCATCACCTTAAAGCAGAGGTGTTATTTGCATATACCTCCTCAGCTTTATCTGATAGCATGTGAGCTTGCTCATGTATTCAGCTGGTGTGTCCCCTACACAGCTGTTTAGGCTTTTGAATCGCTCATAGAGGAATTCTCGGGCAGTGTAGAAGAGTATGCTATTAACCTTAGCTAGATGCTCATAAGGTCTCCACTACCATGGCATCAGAGTGCCTCATAATCCATAATGCATTTTTCTTTGCAATACCCCTCATCCAGTTTATGGACGGTGAACTGAATCATGCATGATCAAACGACATGCTCAGGCTCACACAGGAAGTCTGTAGCAAACCAGGGCATAACTGGAGGTCTGCCCAGTGCCAAGTCGGCACCTAAACACTGCACCATCCTTGATCCACTTTTCAGTCAGGTCTTGATGATACCAGTAATGATCAGAAATAACTGTACCGGAAACAATGGAGCTAGACCAGCACCTCCTTGTTGTGAGTGAGAGGCAAATTGGACCTTTCGTTTGTAGGTATTGTCAACTTTTCTGGGTACATTATTAGATCAGTCATTAGTTTGGGTCAACCTTAAGTTTAAGGAATGCCCATGCTTTTGTTTCGTGGTAGCCTGGGGCTTACTGTGAGAATCTCAAATCCATAGTCATGCAGGCTACTGCATTTGAATTGATTTAAAATCCATGTATGGCCTTATTGTCTTCACAGCCCACACCAGTTGCTTGTGAAGCTTCACGGATGGAGGGGAAAAGCCCCGAGCAGTTTTGCAAACTGCTTCTCTGTGTTCCTGATAATTCTCACCACTCTGTTGTGATTGATCTGTCACGCATCGTTAATGCAAACTTTTTTGTTTCAGGTTCCGAAAATGCACCCGGTGGGTGTTGCTGCTAGGCACCTTTTTTTTTTTTTTTTGTGGGAAATTTCCTGTGTTATCATTTTCCTTTGATACCATTAATCAACAAAATGAAGAGCATGTTTGTATGTGGTGTCCATTTTTATTCAGAATCCCTTTTCTCTATGCCTTTATTGCTAGGGCAATGTGGTGATAAAGGAGCACACAGCCTTCTCCTGGGCAGCCAAGATCTAGTGGGGCTCTACCTGGTTGTGAATCCTGGCAAGGGGGAGCTAGGGTCGTTGGTACCAAAGATCCTTGCACTGCTGCTGATTGTGCCTTATCTTTACCTGTGCCAACTTCGTGGGGTTGTAGTGGCACCCTGTGCCATTAGTTTTGCATGCTTAAGGAAAAGAAGTGCTTGTCCATGGATACTGAAAGTCCAAGTGTACATGTGTAGCACTGTAGTAGACATGCAGAACAAGAACTTCGCTCTTGCTGCAAATGACTACAGCGTGCTCAACGTGTAAGGCAAAAGAATGATTTCCATGTACCATATTATGACTGTTCTCTTCTTTATTCTACAGTGACCTGGCAACAGCCACTCAAGTCCATGTGATTATTACTCATAATACAGGTTTCGAGCAGGGATTCTCTATCACTTGAAGGCTGCTCCGAACATACTTGATCAAGTCTTGCTCCTTCCCTGTAAGCATTTATTTAGCACTATTTCTTTAATGTGGCTGGCATCATGTCTCTGGCCTTGTTCTGGAGAAGCATTGGCAGTATTAGCACCTGATTCAGAGCCTGCAGAATTCAGAGGGGGCCTTTGTTGCTTCTTATGGGGAAATTTCAGAGGCATTTAGACTTTTAAAGGCCAAGATTGGCCCAGAGTGGGATTGTCAAGAGAGCCTATGGTGGTTAGGCAACTAGCTCCAATGCAAATTGATGAGAGGTAGGTTCCTAACTTGCTTTGGTGCACTTGAAAACCCCACTTTGATGGATAACTGCCTCAGCCCCAGTGAGCCCTTATGTGTGGGAGACTTTGTTCATGGATGGTTTACATATGATCTGGGCACGATCTGCTCCAAGGAAATTGTCCGGAGTTGTCTGGGCTGTAGTTCTCCTGCCTTCCTCATGCTGAGCTGCACTCTCACTCAAGTTTCTCCAGTGAGTTCACTGGGATAGCTCATGTTTTTATTCCTTAACATGATCAGACCCATAGCAAAATGGGTTTAGTTTAGTTTATATCGATGCAGATGGTAAACTATAAGGATCGAGAGCATTAACACAGTGATGTTCTCCTATTAGCCTGCTGTCATGTGAATTTTCAGTAACACATATACTACCCACCCAGCCAAGTCACTTCCAGGATTTTCTATTGTCTTATATGGTACTTACGTAGCACTTGAAGGGAATGCCAGGGTTACACTTACTTGTGACATGTCCCTTTAACGATTGAAGAGCTTGTGAGAGATGGAGGAGGACAGACCTGCACACTAGACGTGTGATTGCTGCAGCAGTGTTTGCTGTACCTGGAAAGCCTCAACCCCAGTAGGCAGATTTGTGCGATGCTATGTATACTGGTGTTTGGGGTTCTTAATTCAATACAACTCCAGTTTTAAAACTATCCCTGGTCTGGGAGAGAACCCATTTTAAGAATTGTCATCTCCACTTGTTCGAAGAAAAAGGAAAATGAATCTGATCAGTGCAATCTAACTCGCCAGAAAAGCATTCAGAGAAAAGTGCACCAGCAGCGAGAGAGAGAGAGGCATGCAGTGCTCTGGATACCATTAGAAACATTCAGTAATGAGCTGCTTGTGAGCATCTTTTCATTTATGGTCAAATATTTAATTGTAATTGGCCTTGTCTTTCATCAGAGAGGTTTCCATTAAATTAAATTATTCTGTTTTTGGAAGAAGGGGAAAATCAATGAGTGAGGATGTAAGAATGATAAATGTCATGGATCATACACTTGCTTAGAAACTGGTTTGCAAATACTCCAACACTACAAAAGCACGCTTTCTGTAAGCAGCTGAAAAGCTTTTACGAGTTGAGAAACATGCCACTCTGCATAAAACCAGGTCTTTCATGAGGATGTGATAGACAGATACAACAGCAAATCTGGGACAAGTCCCTTACCTTTGTTTTCAGCTATGTGTTTCATCACCTTAGATCCCGTTGCTTGCATGGGTTCTTGCTCGTTCATGAACCTGTGAAACCAGCGTCGTCTCAACTGCCTCAGTTCTGAGTTTCGAGACATTAGCCACCGTGGCCCGTACCTCTGGTCTGAAGAAGAGTCGTGGAGCACATTCACGCCTACCAGGAACTTAGGACTCAAGTGAGGGTTTTGCAGCGCTCTGGTGGTGTCTAGGATTCCAACTCCTATCATAACGTCTGAAAGTGGGATGGCCTGGCTATTTGAGGTCCCCCGTGCTCCCTGCTGAATAACCAAGCGGGACCGCTGTAACAGGAGAAGGCTGCCAGCCATTAGATACGCGGCTGTGAGGAAGAAGAGCAAAAACTGGGTCCGCCGAAGAAACTTCTGTAGTCTGAAAAAAGCTTTGGCCATGCCCTTGCTGAAGCTAGGCACTTCACGCCTTCAGAACGGCCCTTGAATCACCATTGGAATTTGGGTTAGTCCCTCCCATAAGTTCATCCCATCACTTTAAGGTGTAAAAATAATCTTTTGCCATTGTCAGCAGCAAGACTTGCATGATGCTTATATCCGGAGAACTGGAGGGTTTCTGGGCAGCTGATGGAGTTCAGGTGAACTTTGGAAGAGCTCCATTATGGTAGTCTTTCGCACCTCGTAACATCGGACTCCAGGAAGAGAGGAAACCTGTATTGTGAAGAAACACACATGTGTGCACACGCACACAGTTGGTTCAGATTCAAATACACATGCACACATATGCACATGCACACAATTGGTTCAGATCCAAATAGGTGCAAGTGCGCGCGTGCGCACAATAGATTCAGATCCAAATAGACATGTGTGTGCGTGTGTGCGCGCGCACACACACACACATACACACACACACAGAGTTTAGATCCAAATAGTAAACACTTGTCAACATGCTGAACTCCTTTCCCTCTCTTTTCTTTATGCTAAGCATTTCTCCCATCTGTTGTTTATAATTACACACTTTAAAGACAATAATCCTATAAGGATGATTGATGAAACAGAAGCTAGTTTCAGATCTTCAGTTTTGCTTTTTTTCCTTCCTTTTTAATTTGAAACACACAAGAAACACCTTCATGATTAGGATATTCTCCCTGGGCTGTTTGGAAGAGCAAGTTCTTTATTTTCCTTTTGTAAATAGCTGACATTTTTGTTCTTTGTTACAGACAGGAACAGGCAGAGACAATATAGGCATCTTTTATAGGAAGGTATTATCGGATACTTTCTTTTTCAGTGGAACAGTAGCTAAGCTACAAATCTAGATCAGAAGGAAACAGCAGTGTGGGTGTATGGGGAAAAATGAAATGGCATCAGCTCTCAAAGGATAAGAGAATAATAATTAATCTCTAAGAAGCACAAATAAAATGAGGCTTTATATTAGAAAGGCTGTCTCTGGTTCCCATATATATTTGTATGTGTTTTTGTATGTATTGAGCTATTTGCCAAACTTTCAAACAAAGTAAGGATCTCACTAATTTAAGGCTGTGTATGCTTTTGTGCTGTTTTCTGTGGCTGAGCGTGGGTGTATATAAGTGCATAGATTTAAATTGGTGGAATCTTTTTTTTTTTTTGGTTTTTTTTGGGTTTTTTTTTAACTGTCTTTTAAAGTTTGCCAGAAGTCTCTAGACTGCTTCTGGGTTTTGCCAGGGCTGTTAGTTATGCTGATGTACACAGTGATGGGACTGTCCAAGCAAGAAAAAGCTCTTTTATGCTCTAGGTAACCTTTAACCTCCTGTAACAAATAAAAGCTGGCATCTTGCCAGACGTTTCCTGGGCTTCTGGTCAATCATTCCTCTGTGAAACTAGGAAAGCACTGAGAAAAGAAGCAGTGTGTCCCTGAAAAGAAAATATTATGGCTCTTGTTTAACTTGCATTTGGGGGTATACCCCTAGAAACCCTGCAAAGGAAACACACTGCCCACAAGTATCCTTTCCTTCTCTTCCATCCCTAATTTAAATAGAAGAGGTATAACTAAACACGTTCAGCTAAAACAAAAAAGGTCATTACATAAAATTCCTCTCATTCCCTGTAATGTTTCCGTTTTCTTATCCTCTCATCTCTGTGCTGTTTAATGACTCATTTAACAAAAGCCAACCGTTTCAAAATAAATCAAACTCCAAAGAAACCATAGTGCAGCTGAACTGACCAGCTCTTCTCTTTATCCAGCGTGCAGCCCCTGCACTCCCACCCCTCCTCTCAACCTTTTGCTCTCCAGGAGGCTGGCCTAAGAAGACGGGTCAATGCATTCTAGCTTTGGAAATCAAGCTGCCTCTGTGCTTGTCCTGATTTAGAAAGCTCTTTGGTCAAAATCAGTACATCCAATGCTTGGTACCAGGGGGCCGAGTAATGTGGAAACGTGGACGGAATTTGCTCCGTTCAGATCCACCATTCAATTTCCTTCCAATACCAAGCTTAAGCGTGCCTTATTATCTTTCCACCTTTTAAGTGTAAAACTTTGCATCTCGCATCCAGAATTCAGCTGACAAACTTTTAAGAGATCCAACTGATTTGATGGGCTCGAAGATGCAGCATGCTTTAATAAACTGTTTATGGCCAGCTCCTCAGTTGATGGATCTCAGCATGGCTCCATTGAAGTGAAAGGAGCTACTCTTTATGCCAGCTGAGGATCCGATCCTTAATACTGAAATTATTTAGAAACTTTGATCAATGCTGTGAGTGCTCAGAAACGACAGTAATGGGGGTCATAAGTACCTAGATAGATGAAGGGAAAATTATCTATAATTAAATATTACAAATTGCTAGTTACAGTTGCGGTGAAGGAGCACTGTAAATCACCCAACAGCCATTTGATTCATTACTTCTGCATGCTATTCAAATGCTCTGAGCTTCTGTGGTGTTTCCTAATGAGTTGGTGTAATTTAAAAAAAAAAAAAAAGTGGGTGCATATCATAGCTATTTAAGGGAAATTATGACAAACATTGAACCGTATTACATTCAAGATAAAGTCAATGCAGATATTAGTCAGGTAAGGCACACCCTTGTGGCCAGTGCCTGAACACACAGGCACTCATCGTGCCATTTGTTATTCGCAGCATAGACTTCGTTAGCTGCGCTTATTAATGTGCTTTTGCATTCATTGCTATAGAACCTCATTGTTAAAGCAGCGGTTGTTGCCATCATATTAGTCAAATGTTTTGAGATCTTTTCTTTTTCTCCCTCACAATGATATGTGCTTAGATAGACTTAATGTATTTGCAATTATTAATCTTTAATTCAAGGCTTCATCGCTAATTTGATAATTCAGGAAGAAACCTGGTTACAAGGTGATGAAATGCTGAAAAGCCAAAGCAGGGTGAGAGAACCTGCATGAAATGCACTGCAGAGGATACAACATGAAGCGGATATCTCTGACAAGCAAAAAAAAAAAAAAATGCTTGCTTAGTTGACACTAGTTCACTCATCCCTAGTACCTTTCCTTGATTGATTCTCGTGGGCAGCCTGGGGCACAGAGAAGGCTTCTCAACATCTCCAATCAGAGCAGAACCAGCAGTAGACACCAGATCTCTTATTTTCCTACCTGCTGTCCTAGCTATGCACGTGTGTTATTTGCTGTTCTGTTCAGAGGCAATACACCCCAAACCATATCTAACCCTATAAACATTTTCCAAGATGGGGCTTACAAGGAGATCAGAACTCATACTCACTCATGTTGAGGAGAACTGTGCTAAGGCTGGAGGAGTTGGTTCAGGGGCTGAACTGATGCTATATAACTAACTTGTTTTTCAGTTCAGCCCCTGAATGAATATGTATGTACGTATGTTTTGGGTCGACTAGAATGTCTTGCCGAACCTGGAAATTAAATGTTTATGCTTAAAAACAATTGGGTCTATTTTAAAACGAAAACTAATTTTGAAACAAAAATCACCAGGTGTCAGGTTTGAAAAGGAAATGGTTCACATTTTCTCGTATCCTTCCTTCTTTCAGCCAAAACAGTTTGTCAGATTTACATTCAACCGATGAAAAAAGGTTGGTATTCCCCAAAATCTATTGTTCAGTGAATGTACTATTTGCCAAAAACCCTTCACTCTGCTCAAGTGCTAAATACTAAGTACTTGTTGCACAGTAATTTTGGGTGGCTCCTGGAGCTCTTTACCCCCACGTTGTTTGCGCACTAGCTCCTTCATGTTTTTAAGCCAGGGGTGGGCAATGATTTTGGGTGGAGGGCCGCTTAGTGAGTTTTGGCAAACCATCGAGGGCCATATAACAAGCAGCCAGGGGCAGATAAATATTAATTTTCTAAATTTTAGGGACCCCGCGGGCTGAATAGAATGGCTTGGCGGGCCATATTTTGCCCGCGGGCCACATATTGCCCGCCCCTGTTAAGCACTTGTTATGCAGCTTAAAGTTACGCCACTCCAGGGCAGGATTATCTCTGATCTGCATAACCCAGCTCCTGTTTTATTAAGGTGTGGCCAGTCCCCACAGATGTGCTGCCTGAGCTGAAGTCCTCCGGTATCCCAGGATCTCTCATGCCCCCCACCATAGAGCAGGGATAAAAGCCTGTCCTGGCTCACCCACCCCCTAATGTTAACTCACAGCTACAGCTCCTAGTCCTGCCCCTGCTTACTAGGCTTCTAGCGGCAAATCATAGCTGTACAGGTGGGGGACAGTCAAAGAAGGTTTCTAGACTCAGGATGTGACTGCTCTAAACTCCAAGCTAGCACCAACACTGATCAACATTTATGCAGCTCACAGCATAAGGTGTAACGAGGCCCTGTGATTCTGAAAAGAGATGCCGAAGGGAAGTCATGGTTAACAACATATTGCTTAAAATGTCTTACACCTGTCCAACAAAGTAACTGCATGCACCTGCATTTCTTTGTGCTTGCTGATCACAGGGAAGGTTTATTTCTGGAAGAATACACCATTTCAGACTTCTCCCTGCAGCTGTGTAACAGAGGCATACTATTAAAGCAATGTACTGTAAGCTAAATTACAGTTCTGAGAGAACCACTGGACAACTGGGGAGACTGGGGAAGCAGCTGGAGAAGCTGAGCACTAATGGAAAGAGGTGTTGCACTTAAACACAGTGCAGCTTGCCTAATTCAGCTCTCACTTGAACCATTTTACGTTGGTATTTTTCCATTGACTCTACTGAAGTTAGTCCACATTTTTGTCAATGTGAAAAACAAACAAACAAACCAAAAAAAAACCAGTGAAAGCAGACTTGTTCCCTGTGAACGTAGGGGCAGAGAAGGTCATCCATTCAATAGCAATACTAGCTATATCTTTGTAGAAAGTGTATGTTTAGCCCCTTGTGTCTGGGGGGAAAAAGTCTG